GCTGTGTTCCTATCCAAAATCTCATCTCAAATTGTAATTCCCCATAATCCCCATGTGTCAAGGAAAAGACCAGGTGGAGGTAATTGAATCGTGAGGGCAGTTCCCCCATGCTGTTCTCATGATAGTGAATGAGTTCTCATGAGATCTGATGGTTTTATAAAGGTTTGGTGGTTTCTCCTGCACTCATTCCCTTTCCTGCCGCCTTGTGAAGAATGTGCCTTGTTTCCCCTTTGTTTTCTACCATGATTGTAAGTTTCCTGAGGCTTCCTCAGCCATGTGGAACTGTGAGTCAATTAAACCTCTTTCCTTTCTAAATTACCCAATCTCGGGCAGTTCTTTATAGCAGTGTGAGAATGGATTAATATAATTGGCCACTGTTGGTGTGATGATTACAGTGAATTGATATGAAATCTCTAGGAGAGTCTGGGTACTCTGAAGGTACTTAGAATATTATGGTTCCTGTCCATATTGCAAAATTATAATGAAACATTGTAGTACTCTGGGTTGTCACTGAATATTTCCTCTGAAGACCTCATAATCGATTCATAAGTATTAGGATATGTCTTTACCATTACCTACCCAAAGGCAAGAATAAACTAAAGATGAGCATGGAGACTGAATAGGTGTAACTATGAAAAGCTAGAGAAGCTGGCCAGTCTGGTTCCATGTTAAACAGTTATTTTTCTGGCCAAGGCAGGCAGATCTCTTAAAATCAAGAGTTTGAGATCAGCCTGGTCAACACGGTGAATCCCCGTCTCTACTAAAAATACAAAAATTAGTCAGGTGTGGTGGCACGTGCCTGTAATCCCAGCTACTTTGGAGGCTGAGGCACAAGAATTGCTTGAACCCGGGAGGCAGAGGTTGCACTTAGCTGAGACTGGGCCACTGCACTCCAGCCTGGGCAACAGGGTGAGAACTTGCCTCAAAAACAAACAAACAAACAAAGTTATTTTCCTAATGTTTTCTCATTAGGTGATTTTTGAATCAAATCACTGAAGATACCAGTTAAAATATATATACATTATCTGGAGGTCTCTCCAGCCCAATTGTGTATTTTGTGACAACCTTTGCTTCCTCTAAATAAACGGCTCTCAAATGTAAGGCAAGCTCACATTTAGAAATGTCAGCTCCCCAAGTGCCCCAGCATGGGTGTTGATTGGGTTGATTAGCTCTGGACACCAGGGTGGAGGCAGAAACGAATTCAGAGAGAGAGAGACAAATAAAGGGAAAAGGAGTTGTGAGGATGACAATGTGAACCTATTTGGAGAGAGACCTGTGGGAAAGTGGAAGGTGGGAACATCAGCTGGTCAATGGGGCGGAGACAGGCTTGAGAGCTGGGAGCAACTTTTGAGAAACAATTCTCCAGGAATAGGAAAGGAGTCCAGTATTGCAAGAGTCTAGATAAAATTAACAGTTTGTATTTGTTAAACATTTACTAGGTGCTAGATACTATTCTAGGTATACTGGGCACTAAGATGAGACAAACTCAGAAATAGTTACATTTAATGCACTGTGAGAACTGAAATTGAGGAACTGCACCTAGAACCTGCAATGAAAGAACAGACTGTCCCTAGGACTGGTATCTGAAAGAAATTAACAGTTACTTTGTTGGGTAAGATACAGAAACCTGGAAGTCCTGTCTGTTGTCTAATTTATACTAAGCTTATTCAGTTGAAGAGATTTTGAGCCAACATTTTAGCTTTCTGTAAATTCCAGGACCTCCTACCACTTAGAAAATAGATTTTGCATATAAAAGTGGCTATGTGTAATGCTGTATGCCTACTGCAGAGAAGTGCTATCCAAAAGAAGTAAAAAGGAGAGACCATAGAATCCAGCTTGTGAGCTCAACAGGAGAGACTGTTAGTCTCTCTTCTTTACTGCTCTAGTCTCTCAGTGCCCTGCAACAAACATCTGTTAACAACTGAGTAAATGAGTCAATGAAGTGCTGGTGGAAGAAAGTTAACAGCCCTGAGATTTTTTCTTTCTTGTAGTGGTAGTACTCAGGGTCTGTTCATTACAATAATCTATTTGGCCAGTAGTTATCTTAACCATCCTGATCCCCTGACCTAATTCCAAAGCCTGTGTTTTGAAAAGGAAACAGAATCAGTTTAAATAATAAATTTCATGGCCAGCAGGATTAGATGAAGTGATAGAGGTGATTCTGGGCATTTCTCTGTATGCAAGAGTGTTGCTAGGCAGACTTGGTTCCATAATTCAATCTGAGAGACTTCATCTACTTAACACAACTATATTTAAGTTGGATGAATTGTTTGAACAGGACAAGTGCTGTGATGACTAGTTTTGATATAATAAAAACACAGCTCATGAGGTTTTGGTAAAAGGTGATTCCAAAGGAAATTGATAAAATTTTTTTCCAGATTTGTGACCATCTTATTTGCAAAATTTGGAGAAATGTTAAGAGGGCAGAGTTTATCTGTGAGTTTTTCACCTACTTATTCAATACACATTTACTGAGCAATTTTTATACAGTCAGGCACATGTTAAGTCCTGCTTGTTAGGACATACTGGATGTGTGAGTAAACTCATTATAGTTTTCCATATAATTTGTTATGAGGTATCTTTTTAGAATCTCAGGGTTCTGTCCATATTCTGTGGTTCACTCATCATTAGCAAAAGCTCACATTTTCATAAAAGTCTTTTCTTGAAAATTGTAAGTATTTTCTTCTGCTTTAAATTACACTTTGGGGACAGTCAAGAAGAAGCAATGTCAGACTAATTGCACCAATAATAATAGGACCCAGGCGGCTAGCTTTGATCTTGGGAACCATCTGCAATCCAGACCACTTTGATGTTTCACACAATGGAAGCATAAATATTTTCTATGTACACCATGATTGGACTTTCACAAATCTAATTAAGATGAAGGTCAATTAAGAGAAAATGAAATCTTAACTCCAAAAGTCAGGGAAGAGATGGAAGATGATGGCATGGTTGTGTGTACATAAAAGAAGCTAACCTAATTATAAACTTATACAAACAGCCAGAGAAGTTTCCTTTCATGTGACATAAAGGTCCTAAAGCATTTTATAACATTGCAATCATTAATGTGTCTTTGAAACACACCCAGCACTAGAAAAGAATAGTAATAACTGGCATTTCAAAACTCTATTACTAAAAAATTTGAAAACAGCTAGGGATAGAAGCACCTCAGAACTCATGAAATGCAGCCCCTTGCTTCTTGGAAATGAGTGCCATAAACTATAGCAGAGTCAGTTGTATCTATTGGATTCCTCTAGGTTTGGTGTGAAAGAGATTTTGCTGCTTGTTTCAGAAGTCTGCAAGGCTGGAGCAAGGCCACAGGTAATGGTGCATCCCAGCGCAGGCTGCGTAAACTTTAGCAAGTTTCCTCAGCTCTCAAAGCCTCAGTTTCCAAATTTCTAAAGTAAGACTAATGATGCTTATCTCATAGGTTTAAAATGGCTGTGGGGATTAAACAACAAATGTTAATCAATCAATCAATCTCTCTCTCTCTCTCTCTCTCTCTTTATTTTGAGACAGTGTTTCACTCTTGTTGCCCATGCTGGAGTGCAGTGGCAGTCTCGGCTCACTGAAACCTCCACCTCCTGGGTTCAAGTGATTCTTCTGCCTCAGCCTCCTAAGTAGCTGGGATTGTAGACACCTGCCACCACACCTGGCTAATTTTTGTATTTTCAGTAGAGACAGGGTTTCATCATGTTGGCCAGGCTGGTCTCAAACTCCTGACCTCAGGTTCCACCCGCCTCGGCCTCCCCAAGTGCTGGAATTACAGGGGTGAGGCACTGTGCCCAACCAATATAAATCTCTTAACTCAATGCTACACATAGTAGGTATGTGGAACTGAAAATTCCTTATCTTCCTCGTGAGAGTGTGGGCTTTAGAATCAAATGGACCTGAGTCTGAATCCCTTTTCTTACATTTACTTTCTGTGTCATTTTGAAGGGGCAATTTTACCTCCTTGGGCTGCAGTTTTTCAAACTCTAAAATGGTCTCAATTATATCTACCTTGCTGGGGTTGTTGAGTAGAAAAGAGAGAATTTATACAAAAAACCGGGTACATAGGAAGACATGAGATGACAGAAAGTACTCATCACAGCCTAAAGGATACTTTCAAATATGGGTTAAGATGTTTGTACATGTATGTCTGTGTGCCTATGTGTGTGTATGTAGGATGTGTGTGCATTCAATGCATAGAAGGGAAGAACTGTCAAAGCTTCCCTTTGTCCCTGCCACTAGCCACAGTTGTGTGATGTGGGGACTTGAATTTGAGTGATGTAGAGTCAGTGCTAACTGAACAGGGTAAACGAATTCTCTTTATTCCTCAGCTGGGTGACACACATCATATAGATCCTCCCTCCACCCACCCTCTTTTGAACTACATCTAAGAATCCTTTCATCCGAGAAGTTCAAAGTATGCCCACTTACCTATGCATCTTAGTGAAATCTTCCTTTCTAATGCCCATACTTTGGGACAAATAGGTAACGGAAATTAACTTATCAGACATTCCTGTTAGCCATCAGGGACACATGGTATCTGACCACAGTGGCTCTAATTTGTTCCCAAGGCCAATTATTTAAATAGCGGAGGATAAAATATAATCTTGAGGCATTCTCTCCTGACAAACAATGTGTTAAGATGGAAATTCCAGTTAAACCAGATACAAATTGCTGTTTTTTCTTAAGTAGTATGACCTTGATTTCCACGAAGACCAGCATAGTGACCGCCAGCAATGTTAGTGCTGTCTGATCATGTTTTCTTAATCCTGCAGTGTGAGTAAAAAAGGGTATTGTTAAATGTGTTATGGATTACATTTAGAGTTGATTTATCAAATTCAAAGGCCAAGTCCTGCCCTTGGATGTGTTCAATGTATAAATGTGCATTCCTGGCCAGAGGAGCATCTGCTTGAAGTACAATGCTCTTTTGCTAATGGAATCTTTAGAGCTCACTGGAGGTAGAGGTGCACCCTGGGCACCTAGTACCTGCTGGCTCCTGCTGTACTCACAGTTCACAGTGACCTTGACTTGTTTGACATCCGCTGAGGAGACCTCGTTGGCAGCTTTGCACTCATATTTGCCTGACTGCTCCCTGGTGATGCCGAGGATCTCCAGATATTCTTCTTCTCCTTCAAATTCCCTTCCTGAAAAACAGAGGTTTTCATGATTCTTTTTTAAAGTCTGAAATAGGCAGCAGATCCTCTCATTATTCTTTTTAAAAGCAATAAATCTATATTTCTTTTCAATGATTTGACAATGTACTTTGTCTGACATCAGATTCCACAGAAGCAGACCTCAAGATAAAAAGTCTTGTGAAAGTGATTGAGTAGAAAATGCTCTCAGGAAAAACCAGAAAGAAAATGGGAAAATGGGACTTGGAAGAGAAAGAAGTCAAGCAAGGGTGCAATGTCAAGCTAAGTCCCACAGAGAGCAACTGTGGCTCAGTCTTTCAGGGAGGCCTGGGGACAGCTCATGTCCCACTTCAAAATGATTCTGATCATGAGGCTGGGAGCTGGGGTGTTTATAGGTGCCGGCACTCACCAGTCACTGGTTAAGGGTTTGGAACAAAGTGGGAGCTGGCAGGAGGTACATGCAAATCATAATGTGCTCTGAGGGGCTATGGCACCAACATCATCTGTCACATCACGCTGCAAAGCACTCTTTTTTTGTTGTGCAAGGCACTCTTTACACCAACGTTGTTATTAGACAAAGTGGCTTCCTTTTGAGAAGCCACCACTCTTCTCCAGATTCTGTTAAATTCTGTTCATAAGGATTGTATGCTAGACTGTCTTGACAGTTGTGTTCTATATCAAACTACATCATCATAGAGGCTTTTAGGCCATGGGCCAGATCCATGAGAATGTGCTGCTGATGGTGTGTTTGTGATGGACTGTGTCATCTGGGGTTTGGGGTAGGGAGTTAAATATCACTGGCTTAAAAGTTTGGATTAGGAATAGGGAGGTCCTGTTTGGAAAAATCTACATAGTTGAGTGTGTGCATTTTAGTAAAGTAATCTCAACTAAGGAAACCTTGTTTAAATTCCCTTATGTGGAGTATAATTGATTACACTATTTTCTTCCTGAAGAGATGGAGAGAGAAATAAGGAAGAAGTGGAGGGGGAGAAAAATGAAAAGAAGAAAGAGAAGGTGATGAGGAAATGAGATTGGGCAGCAGGAAGAGCTTAGCCAGAGCTTGGCCAGAAAGGCCTAAGGACTTCGACTCTAGTTAAATTGAACCCCCTTACCCCCAAATTTCCAAACTCCACTGTTACACGAGTTAGGATAGAGCAGCTGGGAAGGGTGTTAAAGAACACAGTCCTGCAACCATGATGCTCCTGGTCATTCCACACTAAATGGTACTAGTCATTAGCTCTGCTCAACTGCCACAAGCTGTTTTCCTTCTCTGGAAAGTCCCCGATGACCAAATCAACATAACAGGCAGTTAGCAAGGAGACAAATTTACTCTAAATATGTCCGTTAAACCTGTTAACTAGGCTCCCAACAGAACATGGGGCTTCTTTGCTAACATTCTATAACACAACTCTCTGGATATTCCAAGCTTCAAGTCTTCTCTCAATTGTCAATATCACTAGTTTTGAGGAAACTATACCATCTTGATTTAAAAAACAGGCAAGAGTCATATACCATTATTTGGTTCTGAAGTTCTGCACATTATCTAGCATATGCTTCTACTGAGAATTATTTTTTTTTATAAGAGGTTAATTTTTTCCTGTCTACGTTTTTCTCTTCTTCCTTGCTAAAATTTAAAGCAAGTACTTAAATCTGATTTTACATGTTACAGAAGTAGAATGTAGTAGGGAAGAAAAAGTAATCTCAGAAAGGTAACTGGCCACTTTTCTGGATTAATTGGGCAGGATTTGGGATTGAAGGGGTAAAACAGATCTTTCCTGCATACTGTTTCTATGGACTAAGTGTCATGCCAACTATTTGATGCTAAGACTCTTCTAGCTGAACATAAATACCCTGAAGGCTAATGGCAACTTTGACAATTAGTTTTTTATTTAGCAGGCAGAAATAGGTGTAAGCTCATTGAAAACCTAGAATGCAGAGGTGGAATAGAAAGTAAGATAGCATTATTTATTTTGAGCATAATGGTAAATTGTAATGAGAAAATAGTTAATAATAATTTTAGAATGTTTTAGTATTTCTTCCCATCTTGCATATCCCCCACCCATAATCTTAATCTTGGTTGGGGACAGAGCTGTCAGTAGAAGGAGAGAACAAGGATAATCTTACAGATGGTTGGCAACACTGAATTCTTTCCAATTCCCATGAAATACCTAGAAATGGTGGATTATGGGTCCCTACTTTGCTTTTTGAATTTCTAAAACAAAAACAAAAACAAAAGAGTTGCAGGAGAGAGAAAGATTATTTTTAGCTGCACCAACTAAAGCCCTACCGATTCTGGAAGATGGCACCTATGAGAGTAAGTACTAAGATGAATGAGAGAAAATAAAACAATATTGATTGTGTTTGGGGCCTGGCATTCTTACGTTACCAATATAAATATTAATAATCTCGTTTGTTCCTGATAAGCAGATAACAAAACATGTCCTTATCAGATAAACTTTCAATCTCATGTCTCCAGAATTTCCCCTAAACTACCTGACGATAAAAGGAGAGTTTTCCCTTAAGAGACCCACGTGGGAGGCAGAGACACTATTTTTGCTTCTCCTGTGATAGCTCTCCTCCTCTCCAATGGCAGCCTCTGTCTCCAGCACACGATGTGCATAGCTGTCTCAATAAAGTGGGAGCAGGCTCAAGGTGCAAACCAACTACAGGCAGAGGAAACTGCACTGTATTCCATCATCCAACCAATCTCATCCAGCAATTCTCTTGCTCCTTTCTTTCTTTTTTCCTGATGTGTCCGTTCTCATGAGAGCAAATTTTCTCCAGTTCTTTCAGTTCTGACTGGCTGCTCTCAACCCAAGAGTCCTGCCAGTATTTCCTTTCATTCTCTCAACCTTAAGAAGACTCTCAGGCCAGAAACTGAGTTTAAAACATTGAGAGACATCCCTGGGCCCTCCCTCTTGTCATGTTTCCTTTCCCTATCCCCTGGATCCTCCAGTTGAAACTCTTGCATTCCCTGGCCCTTCCTGATTAGTCTGTTCTAGTCACACCCAGGAGACTTTTCCCATAATGCATTATCTCTCTTGCTTCACTTGAGAATTTCTTACCAATTCACAGAGATTTAACAGGAAATGGGAGCTTTTCCGTTGCTGGAAATCCAAAGCTCCAGATTGTAAGCGCCACAGGGACCATGACTTACTCATAATATCCTCATGAACTAGCACAGGGTTTGACTCAGATTAGTCACTCAATAAATGTTTGTTGAGTTAGCTCGCTACAGACTCAATGCTTGTGTTTCTCCAAAATTCATATGTTGAAACCTAATCCTCAAAGTGATGATGGTATTTGGAAGTATACCTCTTTGGAGGTGATTGGGTCAGGAAGATGGAGGCTTCATGAATGAGATTAGTGCACTTATAAAAGAAGCTGCAGGCTGGGTATGGTGACTTATGCCTGTAACCCTAGCACTTTGGGAGGCCGAGGCGGGTGGGTCACTTGAAGTCAAGAGTTCGAAACGAGCCTGGCCAACATGGTGAAACCTCGTTTCTACTAAAAATACAAAAAAATTAGCTGGGCGTGGTGGCATATGCCTGTGATCCCAGCTATTTGGGAGGCTAAGGCAGGAGAATTGCTTCGACCCAGGAGGCGGAGGTTGCAGTGAGCTGAGATTGAGCCACTGTACTCCAGCCTGGGCGACAGAGCAAGACTCCATCTCAAAAAAAAAAAAAAAAAAAAAAAAAAAAAAAAAGAAAAAAGAAAAAAAACAGAAAAAAAAAGAAAACAGAAACTCCAGAGTTCCTTCGCCTCTTCTGCCATGTAAGGACACAGAGAAAAGACAGCTGTCTCTGAATCAGGAATTGGGCCCTCATCACACAGCTAATTTGCTGGCACCTTGATCTTGGACTTCCCAAGCTCTGAAACTGCGAGAAATACATTTCAGTTGTTTATAAGCTACCCAGTCTATGGTATTTTTGTTATAGTAACCTGAATGGACTGAGCTAAATCCGAACTGAGTTAAGAAACTCAAAGAGATTCTAGAGTTATTGTCAGCACTTCATGTAGTTTAAGAGATAGAGCTAAGTATTGAAAAGTGGCTAAGTATTTCTGTCAGAGAAGTTGGCATAAAACTCCACTGCCTTTTAATGATCCTAATAGAGTTCTCTTTTACTGGGGAAGAAAGGGTGTGCTGAGTACTCTGTTGCTGAATGACTGCATGGGGGCATATCTGGCCATGTCCCAAGGAATTATCTGCCATGGCGAGTTATCGTTTCGGAAACCAACAGAAATCCCTGTGGACACAGGCACGATACAGTCTCAGCAAGTGCCATTTCTTGTTTTAAGGCATGGAATATACCACCTGAATCTTGAATCACAAAATTCTAAAATGCACTCAGATTCTCCTGTTCCTTTCTTTCCCTTTGTCCCCATGTGCCTGTCCCCAAGAGGGTAACGTTTCTCCATTTCTTTCAGTTCGCCCTGACTGGCTACTCTCAACCCCAGGGTCCTGCCAATATTGTCTTTTATTCTCTCAACCTTAAAAAGACCCTCAGGCCAGAAACAGACACAAAACCTATTGTTTAAGTTCTCTGGTAGACGGGTTCTATGGCCACAATTTGGGTCGTTCTCTTGTTCCTATTATTTTTTGTCCTTACAGAAATGTTTACTTGAAATGCAAATTTCAGCATTTTGGTATTTTAAACATCTCAACCAATTTCCACAAGCCTGCTCACATCGCTGAGTGTTGTATTTATTCTGGGATCTAATGTTTAGTTTAAATCTCCCTTTGCTTAATGTGTTTTTGTGTCTCCTGGCGATATTCAGCTACCAGGCTAAATAACTTCTCATCCTCCTCAGTGTATGCACCTTTTAAACTCTTGCACATAATTAGCATATCCCTTCTTAGTCACTGTTTACTGAAGTTGTACATATTAGTTCTTTTAATATTTCTTCATAAGTCAGAAAGAAGGGCCTGGAGCTAATGGCAAGAGAAAAGTGTTCTCTCCTATGTTCCCCAATGTGGAGGCAAATCAGCCAGGAATAACACCAATTAAAGT